GGTAGCATGCTGTCCATGACTGGTGGAAAAACTGTTTGTAAGTCATCAGGTATGTCCCACTCAGAAGGATGTGGACATGGGTAGACAATCTCGGCATAAGTCTGTCGATATACTTCTGTAGTGTAGCAATCCATAGCGTATGCGCTTGAATAATCTTGGTTTAGATGAACATCAACTTTTATAACATGGCCACACGGATAACCAAATGTTTGTCATTTCTTACAACTACACGTCTTTGCATTAGATCGACAAGCCCATTTAAGTTATTATCCAATACTTCAAACAAAGTGTTTGAACATGGTTCAACTCTCCATGACGTTGACTTCACAACACGTTTCGTTTATCTATTTTTCAGTCCATAGTGTAACACGACGTTCCAATGTTCCTGTAAATTTAAATAAATAATACTTAGTAAAATATATGATAAGTTACGAATTTAAAGAAATAATACATGTATGGTTCTTTTCTTGTAGTACCACTGTTGAATAGAGGCTCGGAAAAAACTCCATTAACATAGTAATGGGTAATTTCCGGGAATGACGACTTAGAGCGTTGATTGATTATACACTATTAGACGTCATGAAACCATATCTTGCTCCAAGTTGATGTACTCTTGACCATCTTTCAAACCCGACATCTTCTAGTGTTTGAGCACATTGAGGCAAAACACGTCTTAAACAATTTATATGCTTATTAAAATCCACTTCTCAATAAGCTTTTACAGCCTTTCAGTATGTCCATTTGTGATTTTTTATACCAGCAGACCTTGATTTTAAATTTATGTACAAATAAACACCACAAAGTCCATGAAAAGCATATGGGAAACACCTTCTAACAGCGTTGTCAATGGAGTTTGCCCTATCGGAGATGATTGTCAGATTGCTAATATGACCTATACAATCCCTAAGATGCCCCATAAACCATGTCTATGAATCAGAGGTTTCAGATTTGCCAACCCCGTAAGCTATTGATAGTATCTCATTGTTAGCATCCATGGCTACTGCTAATAAGTTTACTCTAAGGTATCGACCTTTCAAATGTGCTCCATCAACTATAATAACTGGACGCATGCAAGTAATAAACGAACGAATCTACAAAATCATATACACAAGAAATATAATCATTTAAATGTGAAATGCATGCAACTACAAAAATGAGTCAACAAAATTAATTATTTACTAACCGCAGCACCAATGGCGATAAACAGCAACTCAAAGCGTCCATCTCTATATGTTTTGATATGAGTTACCGATCTAGGATTTTTCAGCTTTAAATTGTGACAATAAGCCGGCAGTTGGGCAAACAATGCTTCTGGTGACCCTCTCAACAATTCCAAGGCATAACATTTGGCTCTCCAAGCTTGAGAATATGAGATACTAATCTTGAACCGAGCATTCATGTCAGTCATAATTTCATATCCCCGATATACCCTTCCATTCAAAACATTAACTCAACCAGAAACCACTCAACACCTTTTTGTTGCCTGTCTATGGTGAGAAAAACTTGGGTTCTTGAACATGTATGTTTATCAATAAAGTCCTAACTTGAAACATTTCGCAATCTTTTATCCTCTTTGCAATCATATACCGCATACAGTTTTGTCAATCATACACCTTGTTCGAAACGATCTTTGATTGATTTGTTAACTTTAGTTGATAGCCATCTTCCACACATTTTCGTATACAAAGCTATCTTCAAGTCTTCCTTTGTATCAAAACAATCATCTTTCTTGATACGAATAACTTTGTGTAACAATCTGCTTATATTTACCAACTCTTCTTCTGGTATCTGAAGTAATTCTGGCATATTCCAGTTATACTCCCGTGGCATTTTCTTCTTTTTTCTTTCTTCGGGGACTTCTTTTCTTCTTCTTCTTCTTCAGGGTTATATGAATTACAGAATGGATGTTCAACATGTTCATTCACAGTCGTAACTTCCTTCTCATTATCATCAACAACATCTTCCTCGGCAGCGGCTATTTCATCATCAAAATTCGGGTATTGACCAATATCAAAATCATTACATGCATAGTATGTTTCTTCTTCCATCACATCATCAAAATCCGAGTATTGACCAAGATCAAAGTCCGGGTGTTGACCAAGATCAAATTTCGAATACTGACTAGTACTCACAATTTTTTCTGTTGGTCATATCGTCTAACTGGTCATACGAAAATCGGAATTTGGTGCTGAAAGTGATTGGGATTTGGATTAGGAAAAGGTTGTGGGTTTTGAGATTGTGTTTGGTATGGAAATGTGGTGAAACAAAATTTTCTTGGTGAGAAATTGTGGTGGAACCATTAAATTTTGAGGTTGATAACAACGTTGTACATTGTGAGCACCATAAACTGGGGTTGAAGAACTTATTTGATTACTACTCGCTACTGACCCAACTTCACTACTTCTAGGTTCAACAACTTACAATGTAACATCATCTTCTTGCGAAACACTAATGTAAGTAATGAATCGTTCAACATCTTCATTGTCGGTTAACAAATAAACTTTACCTTTTCTCTGATAAGATAGCCTAAATCCACTTAGAGGCTCTAAATTCAATTTCTTTGCAACACATAACATTAGAGTTTCATAAGTTAACTTTTTTTAATGACAATTTTAGTTGAAGATTCATGGATAAAGGCACATATTGTAAAACACCATGAACATTCTCCCATGACCCTCCAAAACACAAATCTATCCAAACATGATCAACATTAAATGATTTCATTCTAGAAATTGTAAATTAATTTACTAAACAAACGAGCTATAAACTAGATATCATCACTAACTTAGAGAAAACATATCTTTATTAAGTTGATAGTTGATAATTTGGGAGAGAAATCATTGAAAAAATATATAGAAATAAAATTATGTAAAAAAAATTAGAGATGGGGAAGGATGTCGTTGGATATAGGAACGAATGTCGCAGGAGAGAGTAATAGATGGAGATGAAATGAGTTGCGATTTAGGTTATGAGTTGATGCTGCTGCGTTGTTATATACCCAAAACATTTGTGTTGCGAAACTAAAACTTGTTGCGAAATTAAATTCGTGTTGCGAATTCGAAAATCTAGTTGCGAATTTGAAATTCAGTTGCGAATTTGAAATTCAGTTGCGAATTTGAAATTCCGCGTTGCGAATTTGACTTTTGTGTTGCGAATTTGAAATTCCGCGTTGCGAATTTGACTTCTGTGTTGCGAATTTGACTATCGCGTTGCGAATTTGACTTCTGTGTTGCGATTTACATATTCGCGTTGCGAAATTGGAAACTGGGTTGCGAATTTGAGATCGCGTTGCGAATTTGTTGGTCATTTTGGCAAATCCAAAAAAAGTTGGTTAAAATCGTATATTATAAGGCATTTTCGGTCACTGATGTTATTTTCTCAAAAAATTAATGTCGACATGGTCGTATTTTAATCAAAACAACATCGTTTTAGTCTAAAATTTAGTTTTTACAAGAATTCAACACGACGTCGTTATGATGTAAGTTCAATGAGTAAATTGAAAAAATTGAAAGTACAGTGAGTGAAATAGGAGAGAGAGTAAAGTTTAGTTACCAAAGTTGTAGTTTACCCTAATTTCATAAACTCATGTCTGCCTGAAGAGATCATTGACACGCATAAACTGCAAACTACCACGTTGGGTTACCGACGGAAGTGCCAACAGGACGATGTGGTTGATTCTCTTACCAGTCCAGAACTAGTGGAGGGTACAGAAACAATTTCAGTGACAAGGGAAGACTAACCGGACTGCCATCAGTTTTTGCATCTCTCGAGATTGTCTAGTGATGGGCAGGAAATACTAGCAACCACAGTTCTTGGACAGGTTCCCGAACAACATACCTTAGCATCGCTATTAGTCGGTTTCCGGTTCCGAGCAGTGCGATATGGAGATTGCTCACCAGGCATGCCTGGTACCCTACCCTCGTTGTTCTTCTCTTCTCGTACCTTATTGACAATGTGAGTATAAGCATCGGTTGATGTGGGGTTATTCTCATCCCAATCACCAAATTTTTGAATAGTAGCACCTTCATCGGGCTGTCGTGTCAGATATCGGATCATTAGCAACATGTTCTAAGTCAATAATAAGTTCTCTTACAATGTTCTAGATGAAACATATTAGAGCTAAATATGGTGACTATAATAATTCCAGGCTATCCAGGTGCTTTTGATCTTCTTTTAGTTGTCTGCTACAATAGGCTTCTTTCCTGTGGCTTGTCAATATTAATGTTTTCCTTTTTTGTCTTCTTTTTGCTCGGAGGCTCATCCCGGTGCTATCGGAGTCTTTGGAGATAATGGTGTTGCGATACCGGAAGCTTATCAGCATGATCTTGTTTGCTTGACGAGGAAGGTTTTACTTTCAACTCATTAATCAAAACCCCTTTTAATCAAATCAGCATAAGTCTGCAATCCTAGTCATGAATCCATCGAAGTGTGCATTATAATTCACCGATGAGGGTAAAGAGTTGCCTTCAGTTAAGGATTTCATGGATGAGATTTTCTTTATCCATCTTGTTATCTTCTATTACTTCGGGTTATTATGATTTATGTCCAAAAGCTTTTCCCTTTTTGCGTTTTCACCATCCCTCGTATAAATGGATTTTGCAAAGTTTTCAAACATTCTTTCATCGTTTTTTTAAGTAACCTTGTATTCACTAGCCATTAGTAGCATCAGTAATAACAATGTCTCGAATACAAGATGGTAAATCAGAGCTAAATTTTAACGAAGTAAACATCGTTGAGGCACAACGAGCAGGAACATTCGCAATATTATTTGCCAATCGCTGGACATGTTGGGCATAATTGCATGGATGAGTGTCTAATATGTCCGGAGCTTTGGCAAGGACAAAACGTAGCACAGACATGAACATCCCAAACGAGTTTCCTAAATCATTGCATGTATGAACTAGGTATACACATTAGTGTTTGCACATATGCTTTAATCATCCATTAGCTCCAATCAGCCATTTCATTGTTATAAATACAACGTAGTATGGGAAAAGGATAAACAAGAACAAATCACCTGAATATTTCCGTTTAGATCACCGGTGATGTCTCATATATATGAACAAAGGGATAAATTGCTCCAAGCTTACAAGAAACAAGATTTGGCATTGAATCAAACAGTAAACTGGATTCTTTCTCCAGCCAAACCCAGCCTTTTGAAACCAAACATGGATAAGCAACTATTTTGGGGTCAAACGGAGGGGAAGTCTCCAATTTATAGCAAATTTGGTATCTTTTTACCATCGCTCTCTTGGCCGACCATCAGGAAATACAGGAACACGATTTTCTTCTTTCTTAGCCAAGAAAGCATCTTGTTTAGTTCGGTTGCTCAATCTAACATTAACAGGCTCATCATCTTCATCGAAATCTGGTGGTGCATCATCATCATCATCTTCGTCACTCCAATCATCCTCATAGTCATCACCATCTTTGCCACCCTCAGCATCATCAAACCCACCATCACTCAGATAACTATCCATATCAGACCATTCTTCTCCTTCCTCATCACTTGCCTCCTCCGGCATATCACTTTCTTCATTCCTATCATCGTCTTTCTTCAAACTACCCCTTTTTGGGAACCTAGGAATGGCAACAAGAGAGCGGAATTTTTCTTTAATAAGCAATAGTGGATCCTTATCTATCAATTGAGAGTCGCGATAAGCTTCCCTGAGGAAAACAGAATCCCTATCCCCTTTCAAAGACACATAGAACATATCAGGGTGCCTTATTATCATCCCTCGAAGTTGCTGAGAGAATCTAAACTCCTCTCGAAAATGAGTGAGGTGATCAACAAGAGTTCTCTTCTCAACAGTTAGGCTCAACATCTCATGTACAACAGCACAGGCATGCTTTTCCTTCTCTGGTGTTCCCGATCTCAATCCTGAAAAGTCTGAATAAGGGCTTATATAAGGCATGTCCCGAAACTTACATAGCCTTCTCGTTTCACCCTTAGAAAGATTAAGACCTTTGGGAAGCTTAATTCTATTGAACTTAAGTGGTCTATCTATAATCAAGTTTTTCTCCTCCAACTCTCTAGCTCGATTTTCCTCTTCAGCTAGTTCAGCAGCTGATACTGCAAGCTCGGGATCCCAATGAGTTAATTCCAAAGCAGAGCCTCGTTCAGTTTGAACAACACGAAAATACTGAGGGTATCGCTGACAAATTGTGTCACGAATCTCTAAAGGAAGCCCAAGATCAGTCCTCAAATGAGCAATCTTCTCCAACAGAATCCGCTTCTCCATTGACATCATCAGTAACTTCCTCAACTTAACAACCAACAAGCCTTCCATTTCATTCCTGACTCTCAACTCATTCAAATATAGCTTTTCAGCTTCAGGTGTCAATCTAAACCTCAATGAATAGGCCCCCTCTTCCATGATTTCAAACACTCCAGGAAACTTCCTCAATAAAGCAATAAATCTGCGCCTTTTCTCAAGACCTAAGTCTCTTCTATACCTCCCCAATGACCTAAGTGACATGATTCTATCAGGTTGACTCACTAGAATCTTCCTTATCTTCAACACCAATTTAAGCTTCTTGTCCCTTTGAATCACGTTATCAAAAGGAACCTCTTTTCTTCTCTTAACTGCAGCTCTTACCGGCTCGTAAGGGACATGGGTTTTTCTCAGATTACCCAAGGAAGTAAAACCCTTATCTGGAAAAACCAAACTTTGGCCCCAAAATGGCGTCTTTTCTGAAACTTCGTTTAAGGGACGGAAATGGGATTTCGTAGAAAGCTTTGGTTTGCGGTGAAATGCGGATTTGTAAGGGAGAAACAGGGGGAAAGAGGTTGATATTGAAGCTTTGTGTGAAGCAAGCAGAAGCAGAGGTTCCATTTCAAATTTTCAAGTATTGATAGAAATTAATACAAAGATAAAGAGAGTAAAGATTAGAGGGAAGAATTACCTGTTTGGAATAGAGGGTGAAGCTCGTTCGGGATTGAAGATTCGGATTAGGGTTTATGACCAAAACCCAGTTTTAACATATGGGATTTTTGTCATATACAAAAGACTTCAATGTAAAATTATCGAGTATGAAGGGTAAAAGTGTCATATTGAAACCAAATCTGTTTAAAAGTGCAACAAACTGCACATTGAAGATACTAATTTTTTATCCATATTATTATTATTATTATTATTATTATTATTAGTATTATTATTATTATTATTATTATTATTATCATTATTATTATTATTAAATATATATTAAATAAATAATAAATTACAGACCAATTACAACTGGACCGGCCCAGTTACAAACCAACCAGAACCGGTCCAAATCCAACCAGAAACCTTAAATACTTGGGTTTCCAGTTAGGGTTTCTTAACCCTAATTTACCCAGCCGCCTCAGCTCACAGCCGTTGATCTGGCAAGATCCAACGGTCCAGATGTGCCAGAGGGAAACCCTAGGGTCTGATACCCTAGGACACGCGACCCCCGTTGTTATCTCACCGCCTCCGCCGCTGCCACGTCCCAACCGAAGACTCCAGAAGATAATATACCAGCCGTCCACGCCATGGCTACTCGGTGAGTCACCACTGGTAGTCCGGTGACTCACCGAGAGCCCTTCTTCGGACCGGTCCGACAGCTACAACGGTGGTGGCTATAAGCCACCCATCTGCGAAAAAAAAGGACGGAGATATAGAACGAGACAGAGACAAAAAAAAAAGAGAGACATAGAAAAAAAAACTGAGAAAATACAAACTAATACCAACGATCTCAGCAGCAAGAAAACCAAGAAAAAAAAAAGAAAAAGGAAGAAGAGACTTACCGAGGAAGCCTCGACCACGGATCTCGCCGGATACAACAAAAACCGAAGGTATATTTGTAGATCTGCTCCGATTGGGAGTCGTTTAACGGAAAAAGTATCGGGACCGTCATTAGGACGGTCCGATCTACATTTAGATGTAAAAAAAATTTTCCGGCCACCGAAGCCGGTGGCCGGCGGTGGTGGTTGACGGCGGATGAACGCCGGCTAACGGCTGCCGGCCGGCTGAGCTTCTCTCAGTTAGAGAGAAGACAGAGAATTCTTCTCTCTGTTTGAGAAAGAAAAAAAAAAGGAAAGAAGAAATGAAATGGCTGGCCCTTCGGCCAGCCGATTTGGACTCTTATAGTCCTTCCCGAACGACGTCGTTTCGGGAAGGACTATGCGTAATTATGAAATAGTTAAACCCCGTTCGCAATCCTTCGTATTGTAAATTTTACATTTTAGTCACTAAATTGAATTTATAATATTTTTAATTTAGTCTTCGAATTTTAATTTTATTTTTTAGTCCTTCATATTAAAATAATATATTTAGGATAAATTACAGATTTAATCCATTAATTTTAATAAATAATATTTTAATCCTTAGTTTATATTTTTAATTTATTTTATTCTAATATCCAAATTTAGATAATTTTATTTTAGTCACCAAAAAAAGAAATAACATATTTAATCCCTGTAATTTAGATTAATTATGAATTAGATTTTTAATTTTATTTTTTCGTTTATTTTATATGTTTTCATTTATTTTATTGTTTTTAAATATTTGTTTTAGTAGTATTTGTATTTTTATTATATTATTAAATATTTTATTAAATATTTTTATAAATATAAATAAATAGTATTTTTTTAAATTTATTTTTAATAGAAGAAAAAGGACAGTCTTAATACAACTGGATGTCCTATTCTGATATTTTAAAATTAAAAGTAACCATATTATTTAAATTAATATTATCAATATCAAAGAAAAGAGCTGTCTTGGCACCTAGAAGTTCTTTTCGGATATTTTAAATAAATAAATATTTTTTATATAATTTTGAAATAATAGCAAAGAAAAGAGCTGTCTTAGGGCACCTAGAATTCTTTTCGGATATTTTTAAATAAATAAATTTTTTTATATAATTTTGAAATAGGATATAAATTAAATATGTTTTGAATTTTTAAATTTTAATAATAGACAATTTATAATTAAAAAGTACCAATTTTGGGCGTTGTAGGGGTGCTAATCCTTCCCTAAACGTAACCGACCACGAATCCCTTTTTATTATTAAAAAGAACGAATTTTGGTTAAAACGCAATCAGTTCATCTTTTTAAATATGGTTTTCTTAAAAACTCTTTTAAAAGATAATTTTTAGGTATTCGACCTACCTGATCCAAAAAGGCCGATGGCGACTCACAAATTATTTTCAAAATTTTTATTCACATCAATTTCCCCCGCCAAATTTAATATTTCGTGCCCGGACAAAACCCGGTTACGACAGCTTGGCGACTCCGCGCTGGGGACTGGTCAAACTTTTAAAAAATCAATTATAAATTGTCTCTATTAATTAAAAATTTTATTATTTAATTTTTAATTCTTTCTTTTCAAATTTTTTATTTATTTATTATTTTATAATATTTATATGTTTTATTTTTTTGCAAGTATTTTATTTCAGTATATTTTATGTCAAAGGTTTGAACATTTCTCCTCACACAACACTTGAATTGCATTACATAAAGCTCTATAATTGAGTTGTCCCTCGGGTACCCTTTACTCTAGATCTGAAACCTTGCATATAAAAAAACCTTAGAAACTCTTCCAATCCGAAGTCATAGGTGTACACACAGGAGAAATGAATTTTGTCTTTTCTGTTAATTTATTTATTGTTTAAATTACATGTTTATTTAAATTATTTAAATTCAGAAAAGCATGTTTAAATAAAGAATATTATGTAAATGTTATTATTAAATTTCTTTATTATGTAAACTAATTATTTTCTTTTTGTGTGTTCTTTATTTTTGTTGCATTGCATCATACAGGATAAAAGACATTGATCCTTGTGTTAATTGTCTCATTGGAAAGCCTTCATCTATGGATAAAAAGTGTTCAAGTCAAGTAATTCTAACAGAAGTAAGACAGTGGGCTGAAGATTTACAAAGACAAGAAGGAGACAGTCTGCAGGATGATTATGTATCTGACTTGGCCAGTTATGCTCCAGTTTCATTAAAAAGAAATGATATGCAAGATTTGCGAAGCATTTGGGAAAGTTGGGATTCAAACAAAAAAATTGCAGTTTTATCAGACTTACGGAGACATTCCATATCTGCTCTATGTAGAAGTTGATGATGAATTACTCAGAGCCCTAATTCATTCTGGAATCCAGGGTACAATTGCTTCACTTTCAATAAGGAGGACTTGGTCCCTACTATTGAAGAATATACAACTTTGTTACATCTTGAAGGTGCTTTGGAGAATCGAATATATTCAAAGTCAATTAAAACTCAACCCTTTCGAGTTAAATTAGCAAAGATTGCTGGGGTACGAGAAGAATGGGTAGCATCCCGTACCAAACAAAAAGGCGAAAGCGAAGGCATTGCTTGGACCAACATCAGAGAGCTTATTCAGAGTCATCCAGACGCTAAAGTACGATTCGATCTATTTGCTCTGGGTATATATGGTATGGTCATCTTCCCAAAAGTATTGGGATATGTTGAAGCTGCAGTGGTAGACTTGTTTGAACAGCTACCGAAGAAGATTAATCCTGTTTCTGCCATCCTAGCAAGACCTTCAGATCGTTAAATGCTTGCAGAAGGCTAGGAGGTGGACGATTCTCAGGGTGTACCCAGTTGTTATATGTTTGGATCCGTAGTCATTTCTGGAGAACAGAAAAGGTTTCATACCGACGCTTTAATACGGATTATTCACCATTAAAGAATTTCTAGAGCAGGAATGGCCGAAAGAATTAAGAAAGATATGTGGATTAATGCCTTTCGAAATCTGCAAAGCAATGACGTTGTTTGGCGCGCCCCGTGGCAAATCCAAAGGGAATTCTTTTACAGGTGTGGTGATTACAACTGGATAATGCTGCTCTGATTATGGGAGGAATTGGATATGCACCACTGCTGGTTATAAGACTATGAAGGTCGTCAATTTGTACCTGTCACTGTTGGACTACAGTCATCTGAGTTCGCATTCCACAGCAAAAATTATAAAAGAAATATCATGGAAGCCGTTACAGCTTGGAAAACAACTTTTTGTATTCGAGCTAAAGCAGCAAAAGAAATGCTAACTCCTGATTATGAAGATTGGGAGATCTGTCAGAAAAAACGAAAATATTCCTCTACCAGATCAAAATGAGGATATCTCTATGGAAGATCGCATTAAGGTGGTTCCATCAGAGATTGAAATCTTGAGAGCTGAGTTTGAAGCAGAAAGAGATGGCTGGTCGAAAGAGTTAGAGCAAATGAGACAAGATAAAGCTATGTTAGGGGTTGACATTGACTTTCATTCATCACAATGTACAATGTTGAGAAAAGATAAAGAAAAAGGTGAAGATGAGTACAGAGCCTTACAGAAAAATTACCAGGAGTTATATAAATCCCGAAAAGCATCAGGACCCAGCCAATCGACGGTACAGATGACCAGAGAATTGAACATTGAGAAAAGACGAGTTGAAGATCTGAAAGGAAAGAATAGCCGTCTACTCAAAAGCCTGGAAAAAGGAAAGCAAAAAATGGAAGATTTCGAGGTCGACAGAAGAGAGCGAATTATAAAACACAAGGCTGAACACCGTGAGATCATGAATGAAATGCAAAGAGAAAGAGATCGAGCCAAAGATTTAGAAGAGATGAAGAATGACATCTTTGTTAAATTTGAAAGCGAAAAGTATCATGTTCAAGGGATTGAATCTGAAATGAACCAGTTGATTGCTGAGCTTGAAGTCAGAGGCCAAAAGATGGAAGAATCCAATGTTGAAAAAGAAAAATGGGAGTTTAGAAAGAAAAAATTTCAATACCAGACTTGAGGTAGAGCAGAGGTGGCTAGCAATTGGATGCAAAGATGCAGAAACAAAGATGTTCAAATCCAGAAGCTTAATCAAAGAACGCAAGAAGCACGAACAAACTTGAAGAGGATCTGGATCAGTCTAGAAACAAAAAACTCAGAGTTTAATTCTTACATTTTGCAACTTGAAGAATCATTGTTTCAAGAAAAGGTTCGTCTAGGACCTAATGATCTCAAAGAAAGT